TTACTCCATTACAAGTAAAAGTTGTAAAGACAGATTTTTACTTTAGTAAAAGTACAGAAGTACTTGCTTTTAAAAGTACTTAAGTACCAAAAGTAAATTTCCTTTTTTATGTCAATGCGAACTATACGTTTTATAACATGTAGCTATTCATATTTAAACAATTCTTACTGTTATCAGCGGGGGAGCATATGGTGATATATGAAGTTGTGCCATTTTGTTTATGTATTTATTTAAATCGCTATTTTGTCAGCTTTTTGTTGTTGGTAATCAACGAGTCTTTTAAAATCAATGCAAAACAACTCTGAATTATTACATTTATGAATTAAAAGTTTTTATAGTCAGATTATAAACAGCACTGAGCCACTTCAATGCAATTAAGTAAAAATTCATATTTTTTTCTTTTAATAATACTAATGCACATGAAATCGCTCCACACCCTGCCAGCATAAACATGACAGAGGAGCGACTCATGCTTCGTCTGTCTATCATTGTTCAAACTGGCTCTTAAAAATCTCTGTGATCTCTTCTGTATGGACTTTGGAAAGCTTATATCAGCATTTACGTGTGAAGATGGATTATGGATCGGGTTAATGGGGCCAGTGTCCTGGGGCCTCTAAGCGTCATGGGCCTTCAGCTGAGAGGCTATACAACAGAAAACTGCCAATGTCTTTTAAACATGTTATTATTGCAGTTTTGAAGTTGTATACTAATCATGCTGTAAGTTGTCTTTTGTATGCTCATTTCTGTGATTGCAACTTTCTGACTTTATTTCTCATACTTCTGATGTTTTATTTTTGCCGTTGTTGTTGTTTTAGTATTTGAATACATTTGGACAACTAACAATACGTGACTAGGAAACAAATTGTTATTATGTATCTCAGAATTTTAACCTAATTTTTAGAAGTTTAGGGAGATTCCTGGGGACTTGGATATTTTCCTAAGTTTTTCATCAATAACAGTGAATGCTTGACTTGTAATCAGGAATCTGTACTGCCAAACCTATCCACGTGTCCCATCATGCAAAGGGTTCAAGGCAAATGAGCAGATACAATAAAATACTGCATAAATGACACAGATTGTATACTGATACATACATGCATACATACATATATATATATATATTGAAATCTATGCCTTGTTTCTCCAGATCTCCATGAGACTTTGTAGGGCCTCTTTGGTGATTTCACACTAGATGTTTGCAAAGGTTTGGAGGCGGTTTCTGTTCTTGGTTGTGAGAGACATGCAGACAATGGAGAACACAGAATACTTACAATATAGGAGTTGTAGGAAGTATGTATGACACTTGCTTGGGAACCAACCAGTTTGGGAGCCAGTTTTCTCAAGAAGTATTGTTGTTGGTGTGCATGTAAATGTTAGATTATAGATTAAGGCTTCACACAATTTTGAACACGCATTTACCAGGCCATTTCAGGCCTTTTCAAATTTGGCCCATTTGGATATTTCAATGGGGCTGCCAGTTTCTCTGAGCTTTAGAAGTAAAATAGACAACAACAAAAACATCTAGAATGAACTGGCAACTTGTAGTTGCAACGACATGCTACCAAACATGACTAGTTCACAAATAGTTTGTTATGCACCAAAACTGTAGCTGTAGTGAATGAGTACAGTGTGAGGAAAAAAATATATATCACAGCTGCTGCATCAGTCTGGCTACCTCTGGAAATGCTTTATGACAAATAATAAAAATGAAAGCTATAACTGATGCTTTATTTATGTAGTGAACCATTACACTTCATTATACAACAGCCAGTTACATCATTACAGTAGATAGCGAAAATGAGTGAGTCGCTGAAATATTTACTCAACTAATTCATTTAAAAGCACTGAAACACAGCTTTACAAGCCAGTCGCTAATGTTATCTTGAAAGTGCAATCTATTAAATGCAATCTACAATTGTAATACCATTAAACATGAAGCGTTTGTTTAATGTGCGTTCTTTGTAGAGGCTAATCAGACCAATAGACTAGTCAGGTTAGCGCCATGTTTAATTTTTTTGACAGTAATGAAAACAAAGCTGAGAGGAACATAAGTAAAGTACGTTCAATGGATTGTAATGCTGTTTAGCTAAAACAAAATCCTTCCTGAAAATTGTCAGTAGACAAAATCACCATTGAAAGTTTTGCGAGTTGTAAAATTATATGATCTAGGACCTTTATAAAGTGCATGCCATTGTGAAGACTGTAAGTTTATCCATCACAGCCTCATTTTCATCTGCATTCTGCATATCCCTCACACAAAAAAATATTTTAAATATGAAATATGGCACTACCGTAAAGCCTATTGATCAATACAGTTCATCAAGTGTCAAGCGACGAACAAATCAAACACTATTGTTACATAAAATGGTTAGCGCTCAGTAATCCACTGCTCTTTTTTCAAGCAACAGGACGTCCTGTATCTTTGCTGACTAGTTTTTATCCCATTGCTGCAAGGAAAACCTCTGGAATGCACTTGAATATTTCTGCTTGTCACCTAAACCTGAGACTTCATTGTCTTCCTTTGAATTCCACGTGAACAGAACAAGCAGCAAGTTGGTTTCTGTGAAACATTTTGTATCAGAGCTTTAAATCGAATGTTTCTCATTCCTAACTGTCACGTACTTCCACATGTATTTCTTGCTCACCTTCTCTCAGCATTAGGTGTGGAGTTCATAATAAGGGCTGAGGATGAATTAGTTTAATCAGGCTGAGTCAGTGGAAACATGCCGTCATGGACACTAGTAAAAGGATAAGGGTTGTGATTACATCATTACCAGGACATAAGAGCTTGGCAAGAGTTAAAAACAAAAGACGGGACAGGAACACATTGCAAAATAGCAAAACATTCGATAGGCATCACCAGTGTTGGGGAAAGTTACTTTTAAAAGTAATGCATTACAATATTGCGTTACGCCATAAAAAAGTCACTAATTACGTTACTTAGTTACTTTTTATGGAAAGTAATGCGTCACGTTACTTTTGCGTTACTTTTTAAATCTGGACAGGGCTTGCTTGTTTGTTTTTAAAATAAAAAAGTTCTATTTTGGGCAAATATAAAAGCCTTTTCACACCAGAAGTGAAATGAATAAGCCTCAGGCTGAAGGGAAAGTACATTTACGTCCGTACAGTAGAATGCAGAAGAAGACATTTCTACACACTTCAGCAATAAACAAAGACACACAAATGTTTGTCTAGAGTAATTTGTGCTTATTAGTACACTTGAACTGGATCATCGAAGGTCAGAAGCAAAGACATTGCTTAATAGAATGGGATTAAATACATAAAGCATATTTGTGTTGTTTAACATTTAATTATTGCAGGTTTGCGTCATTATTCTGAGTTGCATTATTTTTATTAATTTTGAGGAATACTGAATCTGTGTTGTTTTTGTGAGTGAGATAATGCATATTCATATTTATTTTAGAACTACAGTAACATCTTCTGATTTCTCTCAGCATGAGGACACCAGAGCTGTCAATCAATACATTGGGGGGAAAAAAGTAACTTGCGTTACTTATTTGAAAAAGTAACTCAGATATTCTCTTGTAAATTAAAAAGTAATGCGTTACTTTACTAGTTCCTTCATTTCATTTTCATTAATTTATTTAACCAGGAAGAGACTCCAAGATAGGCAGCCGAGTTTGCATATACAAATAAACAACGTAGTTACAACATGCATTACAAATCCAACATATAACCAGTTAAAAACAATTACACACCATTAAGTTGCTCTCAAGATTACATAATAAAGACTTAAAATAATTATAAGACACCAAGTTTTGTAACTTCATCTCCTTTTGAAGAAGATTCCAATCTGAGGCTGCAGCATATTTAAAAGAGGTTTTACCAAGCTCAGTTCTGACAAAAGGTATACAGAGATTGTAAATTGATTGAGAACGCAATGAATGATTTCCAATTAAAGTCCTTTGTATAAAGTAACAGAGATACTTCGGCAAATAACCCAAAATTGCTTTATATATCAACAAATGCCAGTGCATTTTTCTCCATATTCTCAAGGAAGGCCATGCAACTCTTTCATATAAATCACAATGACGAGTTGAAAATTTACAGTCAGTAATAAATCTCAGAGCACCGTGGTACAAAGCATCCAAGGAAGAAAGAAGGGAAGAGGGGGCATGCTGGTAAACCACATCCCCATATTCGAGAATCGGTAAAAATGCAGCGGACACTGGTTTTTTCCTCACCTTAAATGGGAAACATGACTTATTTCTAAAGAAAAACCCTAACTTCTTCTTTTACTTGAAAAAAGTAATCTGATTGCGTAACTCGCGTTACTTGTAACGCGTTACCCCAGACACTGGTGACGTCACAGCAGGTGTCAGTCTAAAGATGACGTCATCCCTGAGTAACTGTCAATCAAAATAAAAAATAGAAGTACCTTGAATTAAAAAAAAAAGTATGACTAAACATGCGATCGATTCAGAGCAATGCTTTTTAATTAAATGTTAGATTTATAGTCTTCTAACTCGAATAATAGTTGGTATATTATATGTAAGTTCCAACTGAGTGTGTTGATTCTGAAGCATGTGATCAGTCTTATTAAGTCAGGTGTTCATAATCTTTATAATAAGACACACCCTATGAAGGATGAGGAACATCCGCCTTCTGTTTAGCAGCCTTAAACTTTATGACCAATAAGCCTGGTGACGGTAAATAGCCTAATAATGTTTATCTTTTCCAGGTAATATATTACATTAGAGTTGGCCACCTTGTGGATGAACTGTGGAGATGCAGTGTATATTGAATATATATATATATATATATATATATATATATATATATATATTCTCCACATTTTAGCAGCCTTAAATTGAACTTAAATTAAACTTTAACTTAAATTGAAATAAAATCGGAAAATATGAAAATAAAAGCTGATTTCAAATATCAATACAAACTCAGTGCTACTAAAATAACACTGGCCAACAGCCAGTGAACACATTTTATTTGGCGCAGTCCCGCAGACTCCAACCAACCCCAAACGCAGTTCATCTTCTCGGTCCCACCCATTTACGCGTCGTCGCGCCTGCTATGCGCGGACTCCCCGCAGACCCGCCCGCTCAGCGCAGCGCAGTCATCTGAGTGTGTGTGTGTGTGTGTGTGCGTGAGAGAGAGAGTGAGAGAGATAGTCTCCAGCATTAGGGCCAAGCACTGAGGTGTCAGCGCATCCGGACACAGGACAGCCATGGCCCTGCTCGATCTCGCCCTGCAAGGCTTCTCCATCTTCGGCTTCCTCTTGTTCATCGTGCTCTGGCTCATGCACCTCGTGTCCATCATCTACGTGTAAGTGAATGCGGCATCATTGATTTGAGAGAAACCATGAAACGCGACGCCGATCGCGAGCTTGGAGCGTAGACAGACTCGTTGATTGTAACGGGAGCGTTGTAACGTGTTGCGGCGCGGCGCGTCGCTGCGTTGAGTGCAGAATGGGGTGTCTCACCAACAGGAACACGGGTTTCCTCTGCGGCGCGGTGTAACTGCTACTGCGTGAAAACATGTTTGTATATATCAAAACGATCATATTGCTAGCACGGCTGGCGGGGGATACATTCATATTAACAGTACTACATTAATCTCGTTTCTTCTCTTTAGCGATGATAGTTAGCATAGCTACTGCGCACCGGTCGTGTTATTTTATTCGTTACTCTACAAAGTCTAATGGGGTTTTAAATCACTCGGGGGTTTAATTTCTCAGGAGGCTTTTATTAATTGTCTGGTGAGAGTCAAAGCGACTCCCGCTTCACTAGACACCCGGCTTTCATGGTTTAAATGGCATGTGTTTATATTGTAATGGTTTTGTTTGGGTTAGTCGTGTTTAGAAAACCTGTCCTCACCAACACGGTTGTTTACCATTGATACAATCCACAGTTTTCTATGAAGATAACCAATGTTGTTTATTATTCATAACATGCCGTCTCCCATTTATTATCTAATATCATATAAATCTATTCTGTCAGGTGGGCATACCTATTTTAACAACAGGCTATTTACTGATGCCATTTTAGAATAATATGGAATTTTTGTATATATATATATATATATATATATATATATACACATATACACACACACACACACACTACCGCTCAAAAGTTTGGTATCAGAACGATTTTAATGTTTTTTACGGGAGTTTCTTATGCTCATCAAGGCTGCATTTATTTGATCAAAAATACAGGAAAAAAATTTATATTGTGAAATATTATTACGATGTAAAATAGTGTTTTTCTTATTTTAATATACATTGTCAGTATGAATATTCTATGGGGAAAAGCCGCTAAAGGGTCTGAAAGTTGCTAAATCTAGTGCTTAAGTCACGCTCGTGTGTGTGTGAGACAGAAAGTGAGTGAAACACAAACAAACACACATTTTTATCAAATAATACGTCATTAATAGTGGTTCACTTCCGTGATTTAGTACGATTGCGTTCACATCAGCAGCAAACCATATACCATAGTTCACTTGAACCGTACCCCAGACCACCCTTTTTAAACGGACTCGGGTACGGTTCGTGGGTGCGCACCCGAGTTCGGAAGACAGCGTTCACATCATCCAAACGTACCGAACTCTGACGTCAATCGAACCCGGGTGCGCACCAGAAGTGCTAGTGTGAAAGCACCATTACTGATCCCAAACTTTTGACCGGTAGTATATATATATTTGTATATTTCCCCCAAATTGTATTGTAAAATGGCATCAATAACCTATATGCAGTATATATAGACAATATTTAAAGTATATATATATATATATATATATATTCAGTCAAGTGTATCTGATCTTCTGGTTGGTAGTGTATATCATATGATACTCAGGCTATAATGAACTGAACTTTGTTGACTAGGGAGCTGTGGGTTGGGAAATTCCTCCACCTGCAACATTGTGTCATGTGAGTTGGCTTGGTTTCTGTCATGCTCTGATCCTACTACAGAATAACTTCTCATTCTCATTCGCTTTCGGCGTTCTGATCTGAGTCAGGCTGATCATGCAGGCTCCTCTTGTTTGTGTCCATCTTACACAATTGTTTTTGGACATTTGCAAACTCCCAAATGATGTGTCCGTGTTCACCCGCTAATGCAAAAAAGGTCGCCGTGGGTCATACGACTCATTCTAATAAGTCTCGAGATGTCAGTTCCCTTTGTTGGTGTGTTATCATGCGTTATGAAATGCTTATGACATACTGTAATTTTTATTTCCACTCTGCTCATGAGCTTTTGTGTTGGTGTTCATTTTTACCTTTGAACAAGTTCCAGGTTTTAAGATCTATTTTTAATGACAAAACAAGTCAGGTCTCAGAACCTCAACAATCCTAGCAAGTTTTTAAGTCATCATGCACTCATAAATGAACATGTGGTTTCTTTTAAAAGCTTTGGAACAAAGAGCCGTTGCAAAAATTTGACTGAAAATCCACTTTTTAAATGGATTCTGGTCTGAAAAGATGACCGTGACGTGATGTTTTTTTAATGCTTCATTATGACTTTGGCCACACAACGGCACACAGCTGGTCATTCTACTAGTGCTGTCCACCACTGTAAGGTCATTAACATTGATCTGTTGTGAGACAGAAATGAAAGGACAGAATTCCCTGATCAGGTTGTACCCTGAGGTCAACTGCTTTCTTTATAACAGATAGTAGTTCACTTGTTGACTGGCGTTATGTTGCTCCTTGAGCCCTGATGATGCATCTTTGTAAATGGACAATGGTCTGTTATTAGTATTTTCCTTTATATGTTTAGAGTCAAAGGTCTTTTTATGGATTTTCTTTTAAAATCACAAGAAAACGTATTAGCAACCCTTTTTTGACACATGAAGCGTCCACAGAAAGTAAATAAAATTTATTTTTAAATACTTTTTTTTTTATTGTTTATCTGATTGGGTAATTGTTCAACGGCAGTGTCAGAGAGATGTTAAAGGGTTAGTTCACCCAAAAATGAAAATTAGCCCATAAATTACTACCCTCAAGTTATCCTAGGTGTATATGACTTTCTTCTTTCAGTCTTTGATCTTTCAAGCTGTTTAATGCCACTCAGCGGGTGTTGCACGCATCAGTCCAAAAGCAGTTAAATAAAATGCGCCCATCCATTAAAAAAAAGTGTCTCGCACGGCTCCGGGGGGTGAACAAAGGCCTTCTGTAGCGAATCGATGTGTTTTTGTAAGAAAAATATCCATATTCAAAACGTAATCATTAATATAATAATCATTTTAATGTAGCTTGCGATCACTGTTGTAAATGGAAGCAGTTCCGGGGGAGTGACGTATGAGGTCAGTGCTGCGCATGCGCCGCTCAGAAGTGACACACACGGAAACGCAGCGGAGAGATCAAAACAAAACAACGGTCACTAATTAGAAGTACAAAACGAGGATTTGTAAAGAAGAATGTCGGAGGATTTCGATATAAGCCAAAAGGAGACTGGTTTTGCTTTGCTAAAGTAAGGAAACTTTGCTTCCTTTGCTCCTGTAAACAAACTGTGGTTTTCACGAGACTCACCGGCGCATGCGCAGCGCTGAACTCATACGTCATCTGCCTGGAGCTGCTTCCGTGTACAACAGTGAGCGCAAGCTACATTAAAGTGATTATTACGTTTTGAATATGGATATTTTTCTTACAAAAACGAATCGATTCGCTACAGAAGGCCTTTGTTCACCCCCCCGGAGCCATGTGAGACACTTTTTTTTATGGATGGTCGCTTTTTATTTAACTGCTTTTGGACTGATGCGTGCAACACCCGCTGAGTGCCATGAAACAGCTTGAAAAATCAAAGACAATTTTTAATATAACTCCGACTGGATTCGTCTGAAAGAAGAAAGTCATATACACCTAGGATGACTTGAGGGTGACTAATTTATGGGCTAATTTTAATTTCTGGCTGAACTAACCCTTTAAGATGAAGAAATACAGGTTGGGTTATGTAACCGAGAGGATCTTTGAGTTCCGAGTACACCTAGTTTCAGTACTGAGGTGTGGGGATGGTGTGATGCCCGTCCTTTGGGAAACTCACCCAAGTGGAGTCCTTCCTCGTGTGCTGTGTTTCCTGTTCCTCACCTCTGATGTTACTCCTGTGGTATGTGACATTTGACCCAGTGTGATGGGACCTCTTTGCATAAAGTCGGTAAGTTGGTCATATCTTCATGGCTTCAAAGAGAAAGTACTGATAGTTGGGACTGATTGACGGGAAAAGATAAGTTCACTTTTACCAAAAGTTTTAACTAGATTTTCACTTATTGGCTCACTACAGCCCTATATGAGTCTTTTTTTGAAGTAGAGGTATGACCACATTAGAGACCGTTTGGATGAAATTGTCTGTTGTCAGTAGTGATGTATGAAGTACAGACCAAACCAAGCAACAAGCAAATATTTTACGAAATTGGCACGGGTACACGGTAAATGTGCCTGCACCTTAAATCTCTGGAGTTTTTCATTGTATCATTCACTATAAAATTAGTAAGTAAAATAGTAGGTCAAATGCATCTTTCAAGTCTTAATAAAAAACAATTTTTCTGCTTGTAGTTTAGATTTGTTCTTATCAATTTTTGAAGTTTTTTTGACCTCACCACAAAAAAAAAAAAATACATTTTATTTTTTCCAATTTTTTTATGTATACAAAAATATTTTTCAAAAACTGAATTTTTTATTAAACACGCATTTTTTTCTTAACAAAACTGTCATGGTTTATTCTAGAGGTCGACCGATTAATCGGCCGATTTTTGGCATTTTTTAATGAATCTGCATCGGCAGATTTATAGGCAGGCGCATCTGCGGGCAGCTAAGCGTTGTTGCAGAACGCCGGAGAATCTCTCTCTGGCTGTGTGAGAGACGGAGCAACTCACACTCTGCAGCCGCTTCTTGTTCACACACAGCTTCAGCTAATGATGGCAGGGCAAAACAGACCGTTTCGAAAGCTTAATTACGTTTTACCCTACTAGGATTGATGCTGAAAAGGTATCATATTCATAAGTGCAACAAGTCATTTGCATGTGAAAGTAGAAACACATGCAATTCAGACGAAACTTCTGGGCTGATTATAACGTGCACATTAACTTTCCTCATGAAATGTGTGCGTAGGTCCGACAATAGCATCCACGATGACATCGCTCATGGCCAGTGCACTCTAAGCAGTTATGAGCAGTAGGCTGTGTAATATGTGTGAACTCTTTTATTTTTGTTATCACTTGGCCATTTGACTTATAGCAGTGTCCAGTGTTTCCCATACATTGAGTTATTTGTGGCGGCTCGTCACCGCCACAAATAGATTTCCCAAAGGGCTTATAATTCGTTCTGCGTTTTT